AAATATGTTTAATTTTCTAGTAATTCACTAATTTATATGCAATATATATACAGTATATTGTCTATTATTTACAGTGTATAATATTAAACTATTAATGAAATAAAATATAATAAAATATTTTTTTTTCAATTTTGTTAAATGCTATTATTATTATTTGAATTTTATTATGTTTAAATATAAAAAATAGCAAAAATAATAATAAATGTTATAATAAATATCTACTCATAAATATGCACTTATATACAAGCAATTTATTTATTATGTATTACTTAATAAACACAATAACAATACAATAGAAAAATTATTTATATATTTAAATAGGAAATTAATATTTTATTTTGGTTACCAATTCAATAATAATAATAATAATAATAATAATAAATATATTTATTACTATAATTATTATTTGAAATTTAATAATTTATTTTTAAATTGAATATTAATAATGCTTTTACCAAATATTTTTGTGGTTTGTATTTTTAACAATAATTTATTTAAATATTAATTTGAAATTTTTATTTCTATAAAATATTTTTAATTCAAAAAAATCTTATATTTTATTTTATTTTTTATAATTTAAAGATTGATAGCATTTGGTATACAATAAGTTTTTTCTCATTGTTTTCAATTTTATTAGATTAGTCTAGATTTTGATTCAATTATAAAGCAATAATAATTTAGTTTTAATAATCTTAAAAATATATAATTAAAAATTAAAAAAAAAATTAAAAAAATAATTCTAAAAATAAAAACAATAAATAATTAATAAATTGATTACAAAAAAACTTTGTGTTTTATAATTTCATAACTCTCTCTCTCTCTCTCTCTCTCTCTCTCTCTCTCTCTCTTTAGTAACCAAAATCTTAATACTATTATTGTATAAAAATTATACTAAAAATTAAAAAATAATAATAAAATATTTAATATAAATACTTAAAAATCAATATATTTATTTTTTAAATGTTAACAAATATATAATTTATTATTGATTTTTTCATAATATTAATAGTTTTTAATGAACAATGGTTTACAATAAAGTATTTTTCTCTCACAAAAATATTTTTATAATATATTTAATATAATATTAGAGTACAAATAAATAAAACATTTTCTAAATTAACAAAATTGATTGATTTTATAGAATAAAAAACAAATATTTAATAAAATATCTGAAATTATTTTCTATTATTAGTAAAATAAGAACTAAATAACGGTTTTTAACAGACAGTTGTTCAGTAAAGTAGCAAAAAATAAATAAAATACAGTATATGTGATGTAAAATGAAAATAAAAAATTTATTTTTTTTATATTTTTTTAGCGGAAATGAACAGATATTCACTGCCATTACTGTATAGTATTAGTACATATATATTGAATATCTATACCTAAATGTCTCTCTCTCTCTTTCTCTCTCTCTCTCTCTCTCTCTCTCTCTCATCAATATCCGAGTGTATGTCACATCCCATCACTACTGAGAGAGACTACCGTTCCCCGTCATATACAGTACATACTATGTATATAAAAGTATATTAAACTTTATATATTTATTAGGAGTTCCCCCCACCAAATACTACTGTACTTTCTTAACATTAAATACTGTACTTAATATATGACACTTATATATACACTATATATTGTATATTTGATATAAAGATTTATGAAAACATATGTATCACGACATGAGTCTCTCACTCATAAGTTTTCTCTCTCTCTCTCTCTCTCTCTCTCTCTCTCAATGTTTTCAGGAAATTGTGATTTTTTTGGCGACATTTGTCTATAATATACTATATATATAAAAAAAAAGTCTATATATATATGCCATCAATGAGCCGATAGTTATTGTGATGGTTACACAAAACTAATGGTTAAAAATAAAAGAAAGTGAAAATCATAAGACAATAATTATTAATATATATTTTTTTTAGTAATTTTTTGTTGTTGATAATTTATTTGGAAAAATTGTTTTCATTTTTTTTATTATTACCAAAATTGTAATATCATTTTATTATTAGTCACTAATAGTAATGATTGTAAAGTATTGTTATAATTAAAGATTTATTATTAGTTTTTAAAATACATATATATATATACTGTATTTATAAATAATAATAATAATAATACTAATATGCGGGTAATTGGTATTATTATAGCGATTCCGGTAATAGGGGTTATATTATACCAAACAAATTATGTAATATATATTTATATATACAGTATAACAACAAAAATAACACATAAAAACATAAAATCAATAATATAATTATATAATATAAAGTAATAAATAATAATAAAAATATAATGAACTTAATATTGTTGAGAAAGAAAACTAATGCATTATACTATCTATTATATACTGTATATACTTTACAATATAATAATCAATGTATAGAAAATAGTAATAATAATAATAATAACAAAAAACACATTTTCATGTTATATATCAATAGTAAAAATAAGATATTAAGTGAAATGAAGTGAACTTTTCAATAACTATATATATATTTCTCTTTTATTTTTATTTTTCTGTTATTCAATAGATTTTTATTCACTACTTTCAAACATTACTAGACTAGTCTATCGGTTATACAATATATATATATATATATATATATAACGGAAATGTATTGACCATAAGATACGGTTTATCTTATTTTTTTTAACTTAACTTATTTCTAGTTTTTATTTCAATCTTAATGTGTTTGCTATACTATTATATAAAATAGTATCATATTATCTATGGGTCTATTGTTTGTTATTCAATAGAGAGATGAGTCCTACAAAAAAAAAAAAATTAGTGATACATCTTATGGTGCCATACAGTCCACTGGCCATACATTACACTAAACTGTATTATAGATAATATTATATACATATATACAGTATATAACATATACTGTATATAAACTAAATAATATGTTTGTTTTTTTAGTTAGATTATATTGAATAGTAATTTTTGTTATATTATATAAAATAGTAAATTTCATATAGTTATCAATAGTTATTAATAATACAAATCTTAAATTTTGTATAATAATAATACTGTAATAACAAGATATAGTTTTGCAATAAGTTAAATATAATAATTATTTATATTTTTTTTTATAAATTACTATTAATAATTATTAATTATATAATTTATGTTACATTAATTAGATAAATAATTATAGCATTAAAAAAACTTAATAATTATTATTTATTGAAATATTTTATATTTATTTTTAAAAAATTACTAAAAATATAATTTCACTATAACTAAAAATAAATTTTAAAAAATATAATCTCAACAATATCTAACTAATGTTTATATATATAGGTATATCTGTAATAATAATAAAAAAACTAACAAAAAATAAATCATACTGTATTTATTTGCCATTAAATTTAATCCTTAAATAAAAATTACTATTGTTATAGATTTTTTTACAATTTATTTGCCATAATCTCAAAATAATAGTATTATTTTTTAATTTTGCTACCAACATAAATATCAATCTTAATTTTTTTAAAAAAAAAAGTTAAAAAAACAAATAAAAATTTTAAATATACTTATACTAATAAATTATATAAATTTAAACAAATTATAATAATAACTAATTATTTTACATAAAAAAATTAATATAAATATTATTTTATATTTATATATATATATACTGTATATTATATACCATTTAATATTTTTATTCAGAAAATACAAAACTTTAATTATTAATTGTTAATAAAATAATTTAATGGTTACAAAAAAATACAAAATCTATAACTTTTGTATCAAAAAACTACTGTATTTTATATCTAAACTTTCAGTCAATAACTATTATCTCTCTCTCTTTCTCTCTCTCTCTCTCTCTCTCTCTCTCTCTCTGAGTGTTTCTAAATCGAGAGTAAATATAAGATACAGTTGCGAGTGATTTGTGTTTTTAAAAATAAAATAAAATTCAATAAATACTCTGAACTTTATATACAGTTTAACTTTTTTTTTCTTCAAATAAAATCCATACTAAAAGTTTATTTTCAATGATACTCACACAACAACTACAAAAAAAAAGTAAATTATATAATAATTTGTTTTATATATATTGCGTTTTTTCATTTCAATTGTTTTTATCCAAACTACAGTATATATCGATGGAGTGATAGAGAGAGAGAGAGAGAGAGAGAGAGAGAGAGAGAGAGAGAGAGAGAATAAAGTCAATTGTCTATAAAAAAAATATTTTTTTTTATTTAATAGAGATTTATATCATTATTGTTTCCCACAACTACTCTATAATATAACACATACTGTATTGTATACTGTATTATATGTAACAAAAAAAACAAAATACATTTATTACATTAATAACTTTAATAATGATTGTATTATATACTACTGTATATTATTAGATTATTACACTATATATATATATATATATATATATATATATATATATATCGATAATATATCAATACAATAGTTATTGCTTATATATACAGTGTATATGGTATAATAGTAAGCAATATATACTTCTATATATATATAATGTTTTATTTATTGATAACTTATATATATATATATATTATATTTTTTACTGAATCGACACAAAACATAATGTTTTTGTTTTGTTTGTTTCCGTAAGACGTTAATTGAAAAAATATTTTTATTTTTTTAAAATAAGTATTTGTGATCTTATTTGTTAACATTTGTAGAAATATCACAAAATAATAGACAATATTAATAGTTTATATAAATTATACAATTAATTACTTATAATTATTTAGCTAATTTTTTCATATTTTATAAATTAATTGTAATATTTTATATAATAAAACTAATTAATTAAGAATATACAGTATATATATAGTGTTAAATTGTTTATAATTATATTAATAATACTAATTTTAAAATTATTGTTTCAAAAGTTGTTTACATCAACGTATTAAAAAATTAATTAAGTTTTAGCAAACATTTATAAATTATATATATACAGTATATATATATATTGATTGATTGATTGATTAAGTCATGCCATGTTTGCGTACGGTATCGACAATCCAATCCATTTTGTATGAAACCCTAACACCCGTTAACTCTTTATTGTAGTCCTGATGGGGACAATAGCCGTCCACTTTGTCGCCGGTGCCCATCGACATCACACCTACCTGTATCGCTCGTCCACTGTCGTACTGCCACCATGGACCACCTGAATCACCCTGGATAGGTGGGTGGGTGTGGGTGTGTTTGTAAAATAAGTGTATATATATAACTGTTTATATGAGTTTGTGTGCGGGTGGGTGGGTGTCTAATTAAAATTTTGATATACACCTATGTACTGTATTATACATAATAACTTACATGACACATTGTTGGTTCGCCCGGACCGGTCATTAAGCTCAGGTATGTCGAGTTTTCTTTCCAATAGTTTGGCTTTTTATCCGCTTTGAATGCAATAATATCAAACCTGATACGCCCGGACCCTATCTGTAGTCGTCCCCAATTTTGCCGACTGGGTCCCAGTGCACCCCAACCGGCAAAGTAGGCCCACTCGGAATCGTTATTACGTAGTCCCATATCTGGCAAACAAATTGCATTCATTTGGTTGCGTACAATCTGTTCACCATCACTGGCACCGGTATCATCTGAATCACTCCGTAACGGTATGTCTTGTTTTAGTTTGATTAGTCCGATATCGTTGGCCGAGTTAGCCTTCTGGCTGGCCGTAAATGCCGGAAATACCCAATAGTCGGCTACACTATAGGAATTGGGTCTCGACGGCCAATCCTGAAGGCCGGGCCATACACTTAGATCCGATATAATTGCCCAGTTAGGTACCAGTGGATGTGGTTTGTCATTTTCGTGCAAACTATGATAGACCATACAGTATGTGTTTTATGATTAATAATAATAATTAATTATTATTAATTAATTATTAATTAATTGTAATTTATAATTATTTTTTTAATTAACTATAATTATCAATATTAGTACTTTTATTACAGCAACTACTACTACTACTGTATTAATTAAATAATTATAATAATAGCTATTAAATATAATTACATTAAATAAAAAAACTATTTAACAAAAATATATTTAATATAACAAATATATGATAATTATAAGTTAATTGACTTACTATAGACAATGGCCGGCAGTAAGTATCCAACGTCTATTTATTATTGAACCAGTACAGTACCTGGAGTATATATTTTTTTAAATATATATATATATAATTTATTTTTAAATAAAAAACCAGACAACAAAAATAATTTGTATCAATTATTTATGTAAATAATTATTATATAAACGGTATATACCATTTTGTGTACATAACAGGTAGATACCAGGGTACATAGCTAAAATGAAAGTAGACTATCCAGGGTGCCTCCATTGACTGGGCATCCCGGCCCTGTTGAATCTGGCCAGTGCCCATAATGTTTTGCCATTTGAAACACTTGCCTAACATTGTCACCGATTGGCGGCCTCGACCGCAGCCCAGTTCGGTAACATTTTCATAGTGTCGCCAACGGGCGTGTGTGGCCACTGACCCGTAAATCGGCTGATTCACCCATCGACGACCACTGACCACAATTGGCCAAACAGTTAGGCTAATAATTACAAGTAAATTAACTATCAAAACCATAAGTTACCATTAGTTTATAAGTTATATCTATAAAAAAAAATAATACTAAAACTTTATAAATTTAAGTGTAATTTTTTTTTGTAATATAATATATATTTTACTGGAAAAAAATTATAAACTATTTTTCCTGTTAATATATTAAATATTATTTTAATAGGTTTTATTTGAGTATTTGTTAAAATAAAAAATTTGAAGAAATTCAATATTATTTTTTTAGAAGTATTTATTGAAATGTCATTTTATCTGAGTTTTTTAAAAATTTTGTTTTAATGTTTTTTTGTAATATTTTATTAATACATTATAGTATAGTATAGTGAGTATACTTATATTAGTCTTATATTAGTATGTTTTAAATAAATAAAATTACTAGTATTTAATAGTATTTAATATTCATATAATAGTATATAAATTATAATGCATTAATTATCTACAATATATTAAATTATTTCATAACAACTTAACAAACAAATAATCAAAATTAAGTTATAGATTATAATTTTATTGAAATAGTTAAAACAGTTTCATACTAAAAATTTACAAAATAAATTAAATATATTTTAAATATAGTAATTGTGTTTTTAATTGACCACAAAGTTATAAATAATTTTTAAACTAAATTCTAGACTATATTTGAAAAATCATTTAATTAATTAATTGTATGATTTTGCTAGATAATTTTAGTCAACTATTATTTTTTTTAAAAAAAAGTCTAACTGCTAAATTTGTCTAGCTAATCATAAATAATTAAAAAAAACAATTAAAAACAGGTAGTTTTTTAAAAATATATAACTATAACTTTGCTATTGTGGACACTTTTAAATGTAACCTGATACATTATATAAAAAACGATATAAAAATTACAAATTAATTAAACTAATCTAGTTAAAATTTAATCCATGCCATTTTGTCTAACAGTATCGACAATCCAGTCCATAGCATAGGATACCCGCGAACCGGTCATAAAGGGTTTGGCGGCGCCGGCATCGGCACAGTAACCGTTTTTAGTCTTGGGTCCGGCAGCCTTATGGACACCAATTTGTACGGCCCGTCCACCCTGGTCATATTGCCACCATGGACCACCAGAGTCACCCTGGGATGAGTGAGTGAGTGAGTGAGTGTTTGTACATATATGGAGTTAAAATTTTATTATAAAATTAGTAATAATGTATAAAATTTTGTTTATACATTTTCCAACCAACAAAAAATCAGTAACTTTCTATACAGTAATAAAAAACACAAATACACACTCTCTTTCTCACACACCCACACCCACACACATACACCTAGTTACACACTCCCACACATATACACCTATTTACACACACATATACATCTAGTTACACATATACACCTATTTACGCACACATATAGATCTAGTTACACACACACCTACACATATACACCTATTTACGCACACACCCACACATATGCACCAATTTACACAAACATTTACCTCACAGGTGATGGGCTGTCCGGGCAGTGGATCCGAGTCGACAATTGTCGAGTTTTCCTTTAAAAACGACGGATCAAACTTGGAGTTTACAATTTTCCGATCAATCCCTAGGATACCGGTGCCCAATTGTACTCGACCAAAATTTTGCCTACTCTCATCCAAATAGCCCCAACCGGCAAAATACATCCACTCCAACATCGAGTTCCTCAATCCGTGATCGGGCATACATATGGCTGTACGCTGACCGCGTCTACGTTGCCCAGGTATCCTCAACGGTATATCCCGGTTCAATTTAATCAGTCCAATATCGTAGCCAGGGTTCGAGTAGCCGGTACTCTCTGTATAGTACTGGGGATGTACCCACCAGTCCAGTGAACCGTACGGATTATCCGAACGTGTAACCCAGTCCTGTAGTCCGGGCCATACCTGAATGTAGTTGGGATCGGCCCGTACGGGTTGATTGAATTTACGTTTTTGTTTATCAGGTCTGCTGTTTAAAAAAAATTAAAAATATTTGTGTTTTTTGTGTTTAAATTTTTTTTAGTTATTATACATTTTTTGTTTGTTTGTTTGTTTTTTACATAACTCCCATACATACCCTACACCCACATCCACCCCCTATTTTTGTTTAACCCCTCACCCACCAACAATTTATTGATATATATATATAGAGTAGTATACTTACTATAGGCAATGTGCGGCCGTAATTATCCAACGTTTATTCAATATTGAACCGGTACAGTACCTTGATAACATTATAACATTAACAATATAATCGTTTTTTATTATACAATAACAATAAAAAACTGTAACCTACCATTTAGTTGATAAAAATACTGCATACCATGGTATATATTCATAGTGCCAATAGACTATCCAGGGTGCTTCGCCCAGTTGGGCGCTGCGACCCGATTGGACACTACTGCCCAATAGATGGACGGCTTGGTTCTGCCATTTATAGCACATATCGTCGATCAGTGTCGACAGTCGGCCGATACCGCAATGATCATCGGTAACGTTAGGATAGTGTCGGATACGGACGTGCGATAAACGGCTTGCGGCCACTCCTACCGGTGCCGATTGATCTGCAGCACCGTTAGTCACTATTACTAGATAAGCGATTATTTCATATAAAATAATTATTAGGATTGACATTATTATTATTATTAGTATACAAATAGTTATAATATTGATTTTGATAAATAAAAATAAAATTTAAATATTATTGTTATTTTATAAATATGTTTTTTTTTAAAATATTATTATTATATATTATATTTCAGTTATTATAGACGACAGTTAATATGCGATACTTTTATTTATTATATATAAATTTTTTTAATAGATATGATTTTATAAAAAAAATTTACCATCAATTGAAACATGAGAATTAAATATTGTATATATATTTTAATATTTATAATAAAATATAATATAATAATACTATTTTGAAATTAATTTGTAAAATATTATTATTTTGCATTTTATTTATTAATAATTGTTAAACCATAGTACTAATAAACATTTAATGTTTAATAATTTTTATATGTACAAATTATAAAATAATTTAACTTTTACAGTTTTTTCAAAAAAAACAATTTTAATATTAAATTAAAAAAACAAAATAGCACCCGGGACAACATTATTATGAATTACAACATGATTAACTAAAGTATTAATTAATTATTAATTGGTTATAAAGTCATTATTATTGTTATTTTATCAATATTTTTAAAATATATTAATTTTCTCACAGTTAATAATAAAAATGTAATTACTATAAAAAAAATTGATTTTTTCCATAATATGATAATAAATATTATTATTTTATATTAAACTGAAATAATGATAATATTCTATATTTAGTTTATTATTAATAATATCATAGTAGTAATAATACTAAAAATACTTGATGTATATTTATTATTATTTTATTAAAAATATCGATTAACATATTACAATAAAAATTATTATATCCTAGCACTAAAAAATATTAGTTATTTTAACTAATATATTTTTTTCAATTATATTTAATTATTCATCAATTACAGTTAAAATAAAAATAATAAACTGAATATTTTATTTTCAGCAATATATTTAAAAATAATTTATTTATAAGTAATATAGCATAAAGTAAATGATATTGATTAATGTATTAGTTAGATATTAGCAATTTTTGTTTAAATAAAATAATACTACAAATAATTTATATCAACAAAAAACTTGAATTTTTAAAAATCAAATTAACTTTAAATTATTTTTTTCTGTTTATTGATTAATTGTTTATAGTAGTAATATTAAAACAAAAAAAAATGTATACAAAATTGGGGCCCAATGTTATTTGTGATTTTTCAATAGCTAGCCAAACTGAGCCGTATACATTTGAAATTGAATTTGATCATGGTCAACTATTAGGCAATTTAACATTTACCAGCGAATTTTTTGTAATATAAAGTGTTTTTGTATATTGATTTTACAATATTTTTAATTAATTTTTTTATAACTATTTTTTAGTATTTTAATTAGTATTAATAATACATATTATATAAATTAAATTTATCTATTTTTTAGTAATAATTTTCATGTTTTAATTTTAAAATTATAATTAATTAAAAAAAACTCATAATATTAATAAAATTTATATATATATATATGTTTATTATAAGACAGTAATTATTATTAATTACAAAAATCTTTATAATTGTTATTTTATTTTATTTTTATAGACAATCGATAGTGAATTAAAATTTTTATGCGGACATCATTTTTACATTATGTATGAATTAGTTAAACGAACTAAATATAGGTAAAAAAAATATTATTTAATTATAATTTATAATTATAATTACTATTATTAAACTTTAATTATATATAAAAAAAGATAATATTATATTAAATATTTATTAATAATAAAATTTTATTTTTGATTAAAATTTTAGTGTCCAACCAATTTTAATGGATCTTGCTAATTTAAATTATAGTAATTTAAGTAGTCTAGAAGTTTCAATTGAATATGCTAAAAATAATGTAAAGTATATTTTTAAAAAATTAATTATAAATTAAATTGATTTTAATTTATAATTTCATAAATTATCCAACAACAACAAAAATTAATTAATTTTTTTCTTCAAAAATTAAGCAAGTAGATATTTTGCTAAATCGTTATAGTTTAACTGATCAACTATATGATAAATTTTATTTTCAATGGCCATACAATGAATTAAGTACAACAATTATTAGTAGTTTTTATCCAACAATGGCGACCAACAATTTTTATGGCATCGCATCAATATTTGATGAATATGTTAATTAATTAATTAATTATAATAATTAGTTTTTTAAATAATTAATTTAGTTTAATATTATTATTATTTTTTTTTTGTATTTTATTAACTCATAGTTTTTCTTGGGTCTGATTATATCATTTCTATGTATTTCATTGATTTACAAAACTTATTTAAAAATGTAATTATTTTTTTTGTGTCAATATTTTTAATAATTTGTAATTTAAATTTTGTTTGTTTGTTATGTTTTATTTAAAAATTAATGTATATATCTAGAAG